CCATTGATTTCTCCATCTACATATGCACTATCTTCACGACATTTCAAAGAAGCTATTAGTATGAGAGGGTCTTTGGAAAAGTTCCGGGTCGAAGCTGCTCCCCTAGGGCCGACCCGTTCTAGTTTTGTCTTCGGTCGTATGGTCTTCGTTTTCTTGTATGTAATACTTCATCATATTAACGAGCTGGTCAAGTTTATCTTCATCTCCTTCCTCTTTTTCAGTCCTAACTTTACTCTACCCGCCAGAGGCCTGCGTAGCTGACTCGTATTCGAGGGCGGCGGATAAGACATCAACCAGCGTCTTGTGACGAGGTAATCGCAGTGTTCTATTCATTTCATGATCCCGAAGACCATCAATAAATGTTTGAACGGTCAATTTTTCCATCATGTCTTCGGGAGCTGTTGGATAAGCATACCGTACTAATCTGGAAATATCTACCTCATATTCTTGAAGAGCCTCATCTCTCTTTTGTCTTCGATTTTTAAGCTGCGACTGATACATGCTACATGCTTCAAATGTTCGTGGCCATATTGCATATTTTACCTCTTCTTGAGTTGTTCGAAATCATCCGTCTCCTCTACGGCTATGGTCTGAAGCACATTTAAAGCATCTCCTCGAAGAGCGATAGTCAGGTTTACAGCCTTTTCTTTTTCAGACCATACATTCGCTCTTGCAGCTGATTCGAACTGTTTCATGTAGTTGTTCCATGATGATTTTCCGTCGAAAGTTGGGACTTTGACATGAACAGAACTTCCACTTCCTTCAAATTTCGGCCGTGTTTCCAACTTACATTTCGTCTCGTCTTCTTTTGTCTCTACTGTAATTAGATTGTTACCTCTCTCTGCTGTCCCTGCTTCCTCTTTCTGTTGTACCTGCTTCCTCCATCTTCCTTTCCATCTCTTTTCATATATTTTCTTCGAAGGCCAACATATCGGCAGCAACTTGGTTTTTTAACGAAGACATTCTATCGTCGAGGGCAGACATCTCAGAACTGACTTTAGAGATTTCCAAAGAGTTGTTAGCAGAAACTTTGCTTTCCAGAGAAGAAATCTCGTTGGAAACTTTGTTTTGTAATGATGCGATGTCACCAGAAACTTTGTTCTCTAATCATGCGATGTCACCAGAAACTTTGGCCATATCACCAGAAACTTTCGAAATCGATGAGATGACAGCAGCATGTTTGTCTTCAAATATATAAGTTTCCGGATCCAAACCTTCCTTCAAAACGTTCTTTAGTCATCAAATCAAATCGTAGTCATTTTCACAATTTATTTTATATTTCACTTTTGGCACCAATGTACTATAGTTTGAGTCTAATTTATTAACTTTATTTATTATAAAAGGTTCTACACTTCTACAACACCTACAAGTTTATTGAAGTCTTTATTTTGTAGCGAAATTAAATAAAACGAGCGGTTCGAATTTATATAAATATATTTATTTATAACTTTACAGTTCGGTACTATCTTTTCAACTAAACTAACTCATAACATCGTTACATATGTTATCCAAAGTTACTATGTTCTAGAACATTCCCACCTCTAATTCTAATTCAGTCAATTACGTGACGGATTGTTCTCTTGCGTTCGAGAGATCTATGGAGGATCTCGAAGCCGTTTCGAGATGCAACCGTTACATAGGCCATGCCGAAAGCATGTTCGTAACTCTGCTCCCCTCTTAGATCTGAGCGTCCCGATCAGCAACTCTAAATGTTAATATGGTGTACTATTTAAAAAAACTGTATGTTTGTTTTACCACTTAGTTGTGGATCAGCCTGTAAAATTCGCCATATTTTCTAATCCTGGAGAATATTATTGCCTACATTTTTTCCAAATAACTTTTTTGGATATTCTCACCATAATGGAATTATCATAGACCAATGTCAAACTAAAAACTCACCCTTTATGTAAATTTTACTACGTATGTAAAAAAATAATCAATAAATATTTTTAAATTCTTTTACTGTTTGAAATACTTGAATACTATGCATCTTTGTTCATTACGTTATACTTCTAATCAGCAAGACAATTTACATCATAATATAAATGAAACTAGATACTTCTTATCAAATTAAATATACATGGTTATAAGTCTTGCATATCAAATATCACAAAATAAATAGTCCTTGTATAATAGAAATGTCTTTCGTGATAAATATTTTAGTCTTATTTGTGCTACCAAATGTTAAAAAGTGGTTGGAAAGAAGTGGTGATAATTCGTTGCCGCGTTTTAATTTACCAGCAATACAGACAGTTTCCGAGGTAATACTTTATATATTTTCCATGGTCATCCACACACAATCACTTACAATGTTGATAAGCTTTCCGGAAAAAAGATGGTGCACATATTTGTTAAATTTCCAACCCTTTTCCAGCAGTTAATAGTGAATATCTGATTCACTATTGATTAGGGTTATTCCATCTCAATATATTTAGTCATCATCATCATCATCAGTAGCTCGACAACCCTTTCTGGGTCTTGGCTTGTTCTAGCATTTTCCGCCATCCTGTTCTGTTCCTTGCTTTGTTTTTCCAGTTGGTAATCTTAAGTGTTTTCAGATCTTGTTCCACTTGTTCCATGTATCTAAGTTTGGGTTTTCCCTTTGACCTTCTCCCTACTGGTGTTTGCTTCATTATATGTTTTGGTGTTTCAGTCTCCAACATCCGTTCAACATGGCCCCTCCAGCGCAGGCGTTCGATCTTTATGGATGTTATGACCTCGGATTCATTGTATGCTGTGTATAGTTAAATTTTTTTTTGTTTAAATGGCATAGGTAAGTGCCATACAGCCAGTCACAACATGAAAATATTCTACCCAGAAAGAAGATTGTGTAGTACAATATAAAAAGATAATATAAAATTCAAACTTAGTAGCATTACAAATTTTAAGCATTAAAATTAATATTAAGGATAGGATAGGGATAAAACATGGATAATCGTCTCTCGTCTAGGGACCCATCAAGACATTGCTTTTAAGACAAACTAGCTTAGGTCACGTATAAAAGGTAATAACAAATGGGGTAAAACAGAGGTTAGGATTCTAATTACAGTTAAATATTAAGCTTACTTTTGCAAATAAATTCCATCAAACATTCATTTACAACTCTTATATTTAGAGATAGCAGATAGCACATATTGTAGAGAGGAAAAATTTTGATGTTGACTAAATTTTTTATTAGATCTTCAGTTTGTTTTGTGTATTTTTTACATTCGAAGAAAATGTGATTTAGATCATCTTCTTTTTGACAGTCTGGACATAAATTTGAATTTACGATTTTTAGTTTGGACAGATGACTAGGATAGCAGGCGTGTCCAAATTTTATTCTAATTATGGATGTTATATACCTTCGTGGAACAGAATAATTTTTGAACCAATAATCACTTGGGATTGACGGCTGTATAGAAGCATATTGCGAGAAATATGCGTACTCTCCAAAATGTTTAAAAAGTATATGTTCTCCGCCATATGTCATTTTCTTTCACCCCTTATATATGTGTCTAAGGATTTTTCGTTCAAACGTACCTAATAGGTTCTCATCGCTTTTCGACAGTGTCCATGTCGCTGATCCATATACAAGGACCGGCTTTATCAGGGTTTTGTATATTTTACATTTGATTTTGCTTGTAATGTTGTTAGATGTTTAATTAGTCCATTATATGTTTTATTAGCGATTGGTTTCTTCTCTTAACTTCTTCACTGACATTGTTATCTGCGGTAACTAGTGAACCTAGATATGTAAATTTTTTCACGCTTTCGATGTTATAGTCTCCTATTGTCAGATTTTGTAGGTTTCTTTGGCCTGTTGATTTGCTGGCCTTCATGTATTTGGTTTTTATTTCATTATTGTTTAGGCCACTGTTTTGTGCCGCTCTTTTTATCGCATTAAATGCTTCTATCATCCCCTTTTCGCTTCTAGCTGATATTAACATCATCTGCAAATGCTAATATTTGTACACTTTTTGTTATTATTGTTCCTCTGGTGTTGACTTTTGACTCTCTAATTATTTTCTCTAATGTGATGTTGAATAGAATACAGGATAGGGTATCTCCCTGTCGTAGGCCCGTTCTCACAAGGATTGTATCTGTTAGTGCGTATTGAATTCGAATTTTCATGTCACTTTTACAACTGTTTACACTTCTCGAAGTTTGAAAATGTTTAATGGTATTTTTAACTGTTGTAACACTTGATGGGGGTCTATTTTCGAAGGCAACAATAAATAAATCAATTACTTCGCGTATCGAATGACCCCGATGAAAGTACCATGTTACAAGTTGCACTTGTTCTTAGACGGTATACAAAGTAATAGCCATTTTATTAAATATTTGTTTATTCTTTCAGAACTTCGTTTGAAAATTTTTAATTTCAATTTGACAATTACGACAATTCGTACCTACTGTGAAATGAAGTGGAAACGTGTAACATGTCACAGCGATTGCCATTGTGTTGTATGGTCAATAAAACAATATCATCATTCGTATATATATATATATATATATATATATATATATATATATATATATATATATCGTCGTCTTTTCTTGTTGATTTTGGTAAACGTGTCTACCGTTTCTACCGATAAAATACCGTAGGTATCTGGAAGTAGCCGCTTGGTTGGATTTCTTCTCGATTTACGATCTGAATTTATCTCGTTTTATGGCTCTTAGTTTGTGCATTATTGACATTCCTTTATCCTGTGCTGTCAGCACAGATCAGAGGTAAGTCGACAAAATCTCACCAGCTCCTCTCCTGGGGGCGAAGTTAAAGGTCTATTGCATTTACCTTTGTAAATTCCATGAGGATTGTTTTTTGTTACTGTTATCCTTCTATTGTTTTTCTGTGGCCAAACAATGTTTTTAACAACTTTTTATTAAACTGATGATGAAATAATTCTAAAAGTTTTAAGCTTTTAATAAGCATTTTTTATACCTTGATACACACGAACACCACATACTTTGAATTTTATATTTGTAAAGATCTTATATATTTCTTATAATTTCAGAGAATTGGAGATGGTTTTACAGGTCTTAAAAATGTTAGGAATATTTGTTACATGAACTGCCTATTGCAGTGTTTGAAAGTTATACCTGCTATAAAATTGTCTTATGTGACTACAGACAGATATCTTTCATATACAACGCGAAAACCACCGAAGATTAACCATCATCTTGCAGCAGTAAGTTGTTTTACTTTTTTTACCAAAAGCATAAAAACTAACATATTTTTATAAACTCTTTATTTAGATATAGTTGGATATTTTAATTGGGAATCATATTAAAAATGTTACTTTTTCAATTAGGTTGTCAGATTCTTTATATGGTTCTTCTCAGAGCCTTCTTTCAGAGCATCATTAATTATGACGTCATATAACGCATTGGATGTTTCGAGAATTATTTCATGTAATTATTGACGAATCTAACAAATGTCAGGATCGTACTTACCCACCGGTGAAAATTATGGCATTAAATAAGTACTTTTATTGCAAAGCTGATTAAACAGTATTGTTTATTAAATTTATAAATATTGAAACATTTAAAAATGACAACAAAACGATCCATTTATTGTTTGTTTTATAATAGTATATAATACAAGCATAGTTAGTTCGTTTTATAGTTATACAATGAAATAATTTACCGTCAACCCAAAAAGACTTGTTTTCAAAAGTTTTATTAGGTAACTAATATAATTCTCGAAATCTTATGTAATCTTTTAATTTTGGGCTAGATATGGAAATGGAGTCCATATATGAATACCTGTATGTCAATTTGTTCCAGAAAATCTTTAGGTGCTTGAGTGTATGCCAAATGCAATAATCTTTTGATATCGAACTTTCAGCTGACTTTGAAAAACCTGCTTAGTGACACTACCAAGGAAGCTGTCATTTCTTTATCAGTCCAGCCATTTGCCCTAGTTGCAGCTTGGAATTGAAAACGACAAGTTTTCCATGCTTTTTGGTCATCGAATGTGTGTGATTTCAAAATGTTCTAGTTCTAATATATACCCGGTTCAATTATAGTAGATAATGAGGCTGTGTGTTCAGATTCAACGTTAGTTACTGAAATAATATTAGATAAAAAAGCTTGGGTATTAATTTTTCTTTCTAACTCAACTATTTGTCTTTCTCAATAAGATTTTAAATGGTTTTGTTGTTATTTTAATTCGATTTGATGATTTTGATTTTATAAATTTTAAATTATTTTTTTGATGTACTATTTGATTTTTTTTTAATGTTTTTTATATCATTTTGTTCTTCTAATTTATCTTTCTACTAGTAATTTGACTTACTTCTAACTGAAAATTTTCGTGAATTTGAGATAAACTGTTTATTATTTCTACCTCTACTTTTTTACGCCTCTCCTTCTCTACTTGTCTACGCATCTCTTCTTCTTCTTCTTCTTGTCTACGCTTCTCTTCCTCTTCTTTCATTTTTAAAAAACATGCTGAGGTTAACACTAGTTAATTCATTGACAAGTATGAGCATTAAAATACTACTGTTATTAAACTGTCAACTTCCTTTGAATATATATATATATATATATATATATATATTCGGAAACATTTCCGCGGTTAGTACAATGAAACCTAGAGCAAAGATTAATACTATTACAAAAATTAATATTAAACTCACCAGTCTTCCGGTTTGAACCGCGTCGATATCCATTTTGCCGAACTTTCGACAACCTCTCTGATGTCTTCCTCAGGGCTTCCGAGGTCTCAGTCTCCCGAGCCCCCAGACACTACTACACTGATCACTGCACTGTCACTACTACGGCTGGGAACAGGAGACGGTTCATTTATACCGTCGATGATGGCGTGGCCTAGGTGGGGGTTATCGCCAGAGTTGGCGCTAGGGTTGGCGCGAACATTTCTGACTGTGGGATTTTGATTCGAGGATGGAGAGGACGATATTTTCTTTATGAGAGGTCTCCATGTAGAAGGTAACCGTATGGCGTCATCTCTATTATTAAGACCATTTGACCTTTTTTTTCTATTTCTATGGCTTCTGAACATTCTGAAAACTAAATACAGTATTCAACAAGACCACTTATCTCTCAATAAACATTGTATGTCCAACACCTATTTCATATTTCAAAATAAATTCTACAGGCAAATAAATGGTGCCCCAATGGGCTCCCCTCTATCTCCAGTAATTGCCAATATCTTTATGGAAGACTTCGAGACCCGAGCACTATCCACATCAATGCTCAAGCCCACATGTTGGCTACGATATGTTGACGACACATTCGTCATTTAGCCCCATGGCAGGGATGCTTTAGTGTCTTTTCAAACTCATCTGAATGGTATACATCCTAGTATCCAGTTCGAGATGGAGGTGGAAACTGATTCATCCCTACCGTTTCTCGTTGTTTTCATCAAGAAAAACCAATCCCAAGGTTTCCATTACTCTGTTTATCGAAAACCCACACATAACAATCGTTACTTGCATGCCAACTCTCACCATCCACCTTCACAAATTAATTCAGTCATTAATACCCTTGTCTCCAGATCAATACGCCCTTCCGATGATGCAAGTAGACCCGCTGAGCTCTCTTGTTTAAAACAAGCCCTAATCCAAAACGGTTACAGCGAAAATCACATCAATAGGAGCATTCACAGACATCAATCTCCCACTCAATCTCAACCCAAAGACTCAAACCCTTATCATACGAAAGCTTTTCTTCCTTATATCAAAGGTGTCACTGACAAAATCGACAGAATTCTGAAACCAAGAGGAATAAAAACAATATTTACTCCCCAACAAAAACTTTCATCTCTTTTCCGATCAATCAAAGACAATATTCCAAATGAACAGCAGAATCCAAAATAGGATTTGTGAACATTCCATTTCTGTTCGCAATTCTGATTCAATCTCAGCTCTCGGTCAACACCATCTTCATACAGGTCACAAAATTGATTTTGAAAACTCCAGAGCCATAGTCCCCATCCGCTTCTATAAACCAAGAATTATCCGAGAAGCCATAGAAATAAAAAAAAGGCCAAATTGTCTTAATAAAAGAGATGACGCCTCATCGCTCCTGTTATGATTAAGCATGCTTGTCGTTGAAGCTTAATCAGTTTCTCTTTGGTAGTCTTTTGTTTCACCATATCAGTGCAGTATTTGTAATCATAGGTCTGATTATAGTCATATATAGCCAGTACATGGTTCACACCCCATGTTTTCCCACATATTTTTCTACGTGTCCAAAGGGGAAGCGTTGTCTGTTGGTTATTCTTTCCAAATGGGCGTTCCATGAAATCATCTAATAAACTATTACTCCTAGGCAGTTGACCTCATTCGCCTCTTTGTCAGTTTCCATACAGATTTTATCTGGATTAGCTCTGCTTGTGAAACTGACTACTACTGTTTTACCAAGATTGACAGAAAGTTTTCCCTGTCGTACCACCTAGTAAGCATATTTAATGTCCGTTGGAGTGTGCTGAATAGAACATTACCATATTTTCATCCTACCCTAATTACTAGAATCATTCTATTTTCCAGCAATGCCTTGATCCAATTACATGCGAAAGCGGATATCGCTTTTGTTGCTACTACATGATGAAGAGATTTTGTTAGTGCATTATTAAATGCGCCCTCTATATCAATTTCTTCATTATTAATGGAGTGACTGATTTTCTGAACTACTTCTTAAAGTGCTTGTTCTGTCGATTTTTCTTCTTGATATGCATGCTGGTTGCCATTGGAAGGATGATCCCTCAATGGCCCTTCCTTAATATGTCTATCAAGAATTTTTTCTATGGCCTGGAACAGAAATGATGTGGTAGTGTAAAAATCTCGTTAATAGTCAAACATACATACATGAAACCTGCTTAAACCGTGGTGTGGTGTTTCTTCTGCAAGTTATGTGATAATATCTGATATGTGGTGCTACTAAGAGGATTATTCCTCTGTAGTTATAGCATTCTAGTTGGTTCCCCTTTTTGTGCAACAAGCATATTAAGCCTAGGCTACATTTCCAATCCGTTTGTTCCTCATACTAAATCTTACAAATTCTATTGCGCAAGACATTGGTAATCTATTGTCCGTAGACTAAGTCTAAACTTCTGGTCAGTATGAGAAAGCTGGGGATTATCAATGCCCAGTAGATAGATAGCTTTGAAATATACAAAGATGGTTTGAATTATTGTAATTTGAGTATCTTTAGACTTGAAACTACTACTTCATAACATAATTCAAGGCAAAATCGAAAAAGGAACTGGGCCGTAGAAAAACGTGAAAATTTGGAAAAATACAAATAAGCTGTTCAGGTCAGTGGTAAATAAGTTCAAGATGGCATTGATGTCTGAATACTCTGAATCTCCAGTTGGAAACGTGTTAAAATTGCAAATGCTTTGGCTTTTTCGATTTTTATGTTTTCACAATTTATTTTATGCTAATCGATGATTTTTTTTAGGTGCTCAGAGAACTTTGGGGTGGAACGTTGTCTTCTCATAAAACTTTTTATATATCCCAATTCAAGAATCGAATATGTGAATTTGCTCCAATATACGATAAGGGTACTCATGAGGACTGTTTCGAATTTTTCATATTTCTTTTTACTGCAGTTAGTGAAGATTGCTCAGCTGATTTACCTCGAGAAATGATGACTGAGAGCGAAAAAGCATGGTATGGTCAGCTTCAAGGCAGATCTTCGTTTTGGATTGACAGCTTTTATTTTCAACTAAAAAATTTAAAAGTATGTTGCAATTGTCGCAAAGTCAATCCGACTTATGATACCGACAGTCTTTTGTTGTTATCTGTACCCAATAAAGCGTGCCATCTTCAGAATATGGTTGCTGATTATCTAAAGGAAGTTAAACTGACTGATTTCTCTTGCAATAATTGTAAATTCACGGATACCATAATCAATAAAAAGGAGTTAACTGTAGAACCTGAAATACTCGCCATTGTTTTGAAAAGGTAAGTTTGCAAAAGTTTTATATGAACCCTATATTATATGTAGTAAATTTTACGTTTTCATGCTCATTTTCTTCCATTAGTATTTGTGATAAATTATTTTCATCTTTTCGTATGTATGTTCTTTTTGCATCTCGAGAAAATGTGCTAAGACAACGAACGGTTAAAAATGACTGGATGAAACAAGACATCTTAGATCTAATGGACGTTCGGAGGCAGTACAAATCCATAAACAGAGATCAATACAAAGTACATAAAGAAATCCGAAAAAGGATTAAAGTAGCAAAAGACCGATGGCTACAAGAATCCTTTTTTGTAATTGAGAAACTGGAGCAATGACACGACAGCTTTTATTTGCATAAAAAACTAAAAGAATTAACAGTCAAAAGCAGAATTTACAGGCAAAATATATTACAAGATTCTGGTGTTAGAATTTTAAATGGTATTACAAAGCACTGTACCGAATGGGAAAATTGCATACTAAAATTATTTAAAGATGGCCAAAGAATCTATCAAGAAATAACATCTAACCGAGATACAGGCCCACCGATTCTAATCTGAAAAGGCCATCGACCAAGCGAAAAAGCGAAGGAAGGCCTCTGGTCCTGACGAAATACCTGCAGAATTGTTACAACTATGAGTCTAGGCGGTATCTGTTTAAAATAACGATTTCTTGGGTGTGAAGCATATAATGGCAGCTTTTTAACATAAATCTCTCCAAAATATCACTACATATGATAATTTTACTATGTGGGCTTTTGAAGACTTTTTTAATTAATAATTTTCATAATTATGCAGGTCAAAAATTAAAATTTTTAGATACTAAAAATTTTTTTAACATATAGAAGAGCATTCAACATTTCAAACCCATTTTGAAGAATTAAAATCCGTGGATTACAAGAGCCCAGGCAGTTTTTTAAAAATTGTTTAAATTTTAGGCTTATAAAAAAGTTGAATAACTTCATCAATTGTTGATCAATTTTAATTTTCGAAACAGTTATTAAAAATGGGTCGTAAGACGCTTCAAAAGATAGAAAAAATAAGATGATCTGTTCGGTAGTTCCGGAGTTATGATTGGTCAAATTTGACTACGATTTACAATAAAGGTATAAGGATGTAAGATCTGTTTTTTAAACAAAACTTTTACTATACAAAGCACTAATTGGATACCAATTTACATTAGCTATAGACCACTAGAAGTTGATTAAAATGTCGTGGCTGAATCGAAATTGATTTTATGCGTTCAAAATCGCAAAATATATGCAAAAAAGGAGGAAAAATATCGATTTTTTTTTTTAAATTTTTTCCATATTTTGTTTAATAAAAAGTTGAGCCCACATTTTACAACACAAGCATTGTGGAATTATCGTTAGTGGTAGTAGTAGATACCGCCTGGACTATTTTAGATGATTAAAGTGTTGCGATTATCGCCTTCTTTAACAAGATATACAGCAGCTTCAAATTACCAGACAACGGGTTAGAATCAATATTTATAACTATTAAACTATATTTTTATAACTACTTTATAACTATTAACAATAAAAGAAATGCCAGTGTAAACACTATCGACTTATCACTGTAATGAGTCACATGCTCAATTTTTTTATGAAATTATTGCATTGTCGCATACACACTTTGTGAGGGTATAACTGGAGATAAAAAGTTTGGTTTCCGAAACGGCACGTGTACTCGGGAAGCTCTTTCTTGCATGCGTATACTTTTACCAAAGAACATTGAGTTTAGGAAAAATATTTACGCATGTTTAGATTTCCAGAAAGCCTTCATTTTTGAACATCTCATACGATATTTGGTCTTTTTGGCAGTGGCATGGGATTTGGCTGTCATTAATACGTTCTTTATGAACACTATAGTAGTTAGGTAAGGGAAAGTCAGATAGATTTTGTGCTGTGGAGAAGAAGTCAGCTAAAAGAGGTTACTAACTGTAAAGTGATAAAGAGTGGGTGTATAGCTAATTAACACCGACCGGTGATAGTAGATACGGAGATAAGGGTGACGTGGAAAGGAAAGCAAGTAGGACACCAGAAAGGAAAGTAGTGGAAGTTAAAGGATAAGGATTTGGCAATGGTTTTAGAAGAGTCGAGTGCTGGAAGAGCTTGAGAAAAAAGATACGGTAAATGACTGGGGGCAAACCAACAGTAAAGTTGTGGTGCGAGTGGGAGAGGAAGTTCTAGGAAAAACATCTGGTAAAGGGTTTCGTAGAGACAAAGAAACTTGGTGGTGGAACGATGAGGTGCAACAGAAGGTTATAAAGAAGAAAGAGGCTAGAAAGAGGTATGATAGGTCCAAAAGAGAGGAAGATAAGGATACATACAAAGTGGCAAAAAAGGAAGCAAAGCGCGGTGTAGCTACTGCTAAGGAAAGATCGTCTGCACAGCTGTGTGATGAATTGGAAACACCCGAGGGGATGAAAAGGTTATACAACATTGCTAAAGCAAGGGACAAGTCATCAAATGACATGACCCACGTGCTGCAGATTAAGAGTGCGGATGGAAGAGTGTTAAGAACCGATGTTGAAATAAAGCAAAGATAGTAAAAGTACTTTATTACTTGCTAAATGAATAACATCAGAGGACAGACAGAGGATGCGGGATCCCACATGAGAATATAATAGAATTAAATAGGACGAAGAACGGTAAGGCAGTAGGACCTGATGGAATACCTGTGGAAGTTTAAAAGGCTCTAGGAGAGGAAGGGCCTGATATTGTATAGTAAATGATGAGTAGAATATATGAAGAAGAAAGGATGCCCAATGCATGGAGAGTGTGATGGTATCATTGTATAAAAATAAAGCATTCAGGACTGTAAGAATTATAGATGCATAAAGTTAATATCGCACACAATGAAAATTTGGGAGAGAACTGTAGAGCAAAAGTTAAGGAGAGAAACATCGATAGAAGAAGAACACTTTGGGTTTATGCCAAAAAGGAGGATAACGGATGCCTTGTTTGTGTTGACACAGTTGATGGAGAAATACAGTGAGAAGAGAGCTACACTTGATATTTATAGATCTTGAGAAGGCGTACGACTCAGTTACTAGACAAGAGCTATGGAGATGTATGAGAGACAAATGGGTTCCTGAAAAGTACGTAAGGCTCGTGAAGGATATGTATGAGGTAGCGTACACCAAAGTAAGGACTGCTGTCAGATTGACCGAAAGTTTTCCAGTAACGGTTGGTTTGCATCAAGGTTCTTCACTGAGTCCTTACCTATTTAAGCTTGTTATGGATGAGCTGACAGAGAAAGTAAGGGAGGAGGCACCTTGGTCAATGCTCTTTGCTGATGATATTGTGTTAGTAGAGGATAACAAAGAAATGTTTGAGTCGTTGGAGTGTTGTTGAAGAGGAAAAACTTAAAGTTAGCAGGTCGAAAACGGAGTATATGTGGTTGGGAGGAAGAATGGTTGGGGACGTAGACTTGCCTGGAGAAAAGCCAACGATTAGGAGAATTTAAATACTTTGGCTCCTATATAACGGAAAATGGGACATTAGATCGAGAAATTGTCCACAGGATACAGGCTGGTTGGTTTAACTGGCTAGCGAGCGAGGTACTTTGTGATCGAAAAATCGGGGAAAGGTTGAAAGAAAAGATATACAAGAGTGTGGAGAGACCTTGTGTTGGTTTACGGCAGTAAAGTGTGGTATATAAAGAAGATGGAGGTAGCAGAAATGAAAATGTTACGGTGGATGTTGGATAAGACTAGAAGGGACAGGATATGACTTGATTAGGGAGAGAACCGGACTGACTACAGTCTCAAAAAAGATTCAAGAATGAAGACAACAATTGTTTGGTCATGTCAGACTTAAAAATGAAAACTATGTGGGACGAAGGAGAGCTGTTAGAAGTTTATGAAAGAAGAGGTAGAGGAAAACTGAGGAGAAGATAAAAGGAATTTGTGGCAGAGGACTCAAGAGAGAAATGGTTTATGTGAAGAAGAGCCGATGGACATAAATGAGTGGCGACAAAGAGTAAGGAACAGCGACCCCTGAAAAAGGAAAAGCTGAAGAAGAAGAAGTATCGACATAGATCGCAATAAGGGAAATATATATATATATATATATATATATATATATATATATATATATATATATATATATATATATAATATATATATATATCACGCTACCATTACTGCGTTCGTATAAAAAGCGATCTTATTGCGTCTCCTGGAAATAGAAGGAAAATTGTTAATTTTACGACGAATATTGGTTTAAAATTTAATTTCTAGTACGGGACTATACTTCGTTTTATTAAATTTTAATTTTTTAAATATTCAACTTTTCATTTATTTTAAACCATTATTGCATCTTTATAACAGGAAACTTTGCCAACTCCGTATATTCGTCCAACCATACACAGTTGCGTCCATTCAACGTTGCCAAACTGAAGGACGCACTAACGTTTAAAAATACATATACATAAAATGAAACAAATATTGAATTATCGAGATTTGGGCTTCGTAGCGAAATTGTATGAGTTGGAATTTTCGAACTGCTTGGTAGACAATAATGATTATGATAACTACATTTAAAAATGATCATTATTAATTGAGAAAGTATTAATATTTTATTTATTTGTAGTTTTATATTTATTTTTATTTTAAATGGATAATACAAAAGCAGTAAATATACAGAGTGATTTAGGAAAATTACATTTTCTTAAACATTTTTAAACTTTGAAAAAAGTTAGAAATTTGAAATACGGTACCTCTTAATATTAATGAACCATCTACATGTATTCTAAATATATGTTTTAAGGTGGTAACTTCTAATGTATCAGGGGACAAAGTTGATTTAACAAATTTAAGGGAAATAATTTGTTTATATTGAAATTTGGAAAATAAGTATAAGTATTTAGGATCTATATTGGAGCTTGTTATATTTATGGAGCTTTTGACAGAAAAGTGTTGTTTAGTCACAAGATTACGAAGATTACAAAATTTAATCAATAGAACTCCAACCAAAAAATTCTTGGGATATGAAAAC